GTGGTCTGTTGTGCAAGAGTAGACCAGGGGCCAAACTTGAAAAACAAAAAAAAAAAAAAAGGAATTGTGGGATTCCCATTTTTTCCAGTTCCTCGGCGCTGTTCGGCGCTGTTGTTTGTTTGTGCCTCGCGGGTTTTGTTAGCCGGGCCCCTCAGGGGTGTGGGATCTTCCGGACCCCCTAGGAGTTCTGGAGGCCTCCTGGAGGCCTGGAGAGCCGTCCGAAGGGTGTCTCGGGCTGCGCGGGAGCGTGATGGGCCGTTCTTTACGTTCTGGGGGCTCCTTGGGGTCGTCTTGGGCTGTCCTTGGGCGTCTTGGGGGCCCCCCGGGAAGCCCGGAGACGCGGTACCGGCCAGATGTCAGGGGATGTGTGGGACCTCCGAGTCGGAGTCCCACTTTGAAAAAAAGAAGGAATTCTGGGAATTCCTTTTTCTCCCAAAAATCCTCGATCTTCGAGGGTTAGAAGCGGGAAAACGTGAAAGGCGAAAAACATTGGAAAAACCATGAGAAATCAACGATTTGACCCTCCTTGGGCTCTCTCGGGACGGCTCTCGCAGCTTTCTTGGGCTGTTCTTGGAGCCTCGTCGAGGTCTTTTTGGGGCCTCTCAGGGATCGGAGGTGTGTTGGGGGCCTCGGGGGGGTCCCGGAGGCCTCTCGGCGATCTCTGAAAGCCTCCTGCTCCCGCTCTTGGGCCTATTTTGGGCCTGTTCTGGGGTGGTCTGGGGCTGTCCTGGGCGCCTCTTCGGCAGTCTTGGAGCCGTCTTGGCTCGTCTTGGGGCCGTCCTAAGAGTCTCTTGGGTGGTCTTGGGGCGGTCTTGGGAGCCAAAACAAATGAAAATCAACGATTTTGGCCTCTTCGGGCCGTCCCGGGACTCTAGGACCTCTCTCGGGGTCTCTTGGAGGCCACCTGGGAGCCTCGAGAGCCGTCGGAAGGCCGACTTGGGCTGCTTGGGAGCGTCTAGGTCCATCCTTTCGCATTCTGGGGGCTCCTGGGAGGCGTCTTGGGCCCTCCTGGGGCGCTGTGGAGGCTCCCCAGAAAAGCCTCTTGGGCTCTTGAGGGGGGTTCTTCGGCGGCTTAGGCGCCTCGTGGGCCATCTTGGCCCCCTCGTGGGCCGTCTTGGAGCCCTCTTGGGGGCATCCTCGACCGGCTTGGGTGCCTCTTGGGCCGTCTTGGACGCAGTGGAAGCCCAAAAGGCGAACACGCCAAAAATATCAGTTCTACTATAGGAAATCCACGGTTTTTGCTTATTTGGGGCTCTATTGGGGTACCTCTTGGGGCGTCTTCGAAGCCTCTTTTAGTGTTTTTTCGAATCTCATGGGGGCCTCTTGGGGCTTCTGGGGCGCTTCTTGAAACCTCTTGGCGTCTCCTGGGGGTCTCTTGGGCCAAAAGGCGCGAATTTCCGGTTCCTCGTCCCTGTCTTGTGCGCCGCCTTGGGGCGTTCTTGGGCGGTTTGGGCGCCTCGCGGGCCGCCTTGGCCCCCTCATGGGCTGTCTTGGGGCCCTCTTGGGGGCATCCTCGACCGGCTTGGGTGCCTCTTGGGCCGTCTTGGACGCAGTGGAAGCCCAAAAGGCGAACACGCCAAAAATATCAGTTCTACTATAGGAAATCCACGGTTTTTGCTTATTTGGGGCTCTATTGGGGTACCTCTTGGGGCGTCTTCGAAGCCTCTTTTAGTGTTTTTTCGAATCTCATGGGGGCCTCTTGGGGCTTCTGGGGCGCTTCTTGAAACCTCTTGGCGTCTCCTGGGGGTCTCTTGGGCCAAAAGGCGCGAATTTCCGGTTCCTCGTCCCCGTCTTGTGCGCCGCCTTGGGGCGTTCTTGGGCGGTTTGGGCGCCTCGCGGGCCGTCTTGGCCCCCTCATGGGCCGTCTTGGGGCCCTCTTGGGGGCATCCTCGACCGGCTTGGGTGCCTCTTGGGCCGTCTTGGACGCAGTGGAAGCCCAAAAGGCGAACACGCCAAAAATATCAGTTCTACTATAGGAAATCCACGGTTTTTGCTTATTTGGGGCTCTATTGGGGTACCTCTTGGGGCGTCTTCGAAGCCTCTTTTAGTGTTTTTTCGAATCTCATGGGGGCCTCTTGGGGCTTCTGGGGCGCTTCTTGAAACCTCTTGGCGTCTCCTGGGGGTCTCTTGGGCCAAAAGGCGCGAATTTCCGGTTCCTCGTCCCCGTCTTGTGCGCCGCCTTGGGGCGTTCTTGGGCGGTTTGGGCGCCTCGCGGGCCGCCTTGGCCCCCTCATGGGCCGTCTTGGGGCCCTCTTGGGGGCATCCTCGACCGGCTTGGGTGCCTCTTGGGCCGTCTTGGGCGCAGTGGAAGCCCAAAAGGCGAACACGCCAAAAGTATCAGTTCTACGATAGGAAATCCACGGTTTTTGCTTATTTGGGGCTCTATTGGGGTACCTCTTGGGGCGTCTTCGAAGCCTCTTTTAGTGTTTTTTCGAATCTCATGGGGGCCTCTTGGGGCTTCTGGGACGCTTCTTGAAACCTCTTGGGGTCTCCTGGGGGT